AAAGACAGTGTCCAGTCATCAGAAAGCATTACAGAATTCCATTCAGCTTCATCAGCTGAGACCAGGCCCCCTGAGTATTTTGATGCTGCTGTGGGACTTGTGGTTCAAGCAGGCAGTGGGATCACATAAACTACAAGAAATGTGAGAAAGGGTCTTTCCATGGCTGAGGTGGAAGGGTTTTAAATCAGGGTTGCTACACTTTTTTCTTCTTTACTTAAAAATACTTACTTTAAAAATTGAAGTGACTGATAAAAAGTAAAATGCCTGCAGGTGAGAGGCCTCAACTCCTCTTGCTCCAAATATTTATCATCACCTCAGCACCTCCACCTTTTCCAAATCAATAGTCCAAGTAAATGCAGTGTACCAGCTCAATCAGTGGCGAAAACATCCTTGCCCTTTCTTGTGGACTGAGCTGTATGTCCCTAAGGGATACAAAAGATATACAGAAATCCTAACTCTGAGTATCCATCAATAGAGCCTGCCTGGAAGTAGGGTCTTTGCACATATAATTAATTTAGGTCATAATGGATTAGAGTGGGTCTTAAATGAAACATAACTGGTTTCCTTATAAGGAAGAGTACAGTAACAGACAAAAACAGGACACAGAAAGAAAGTTATGTAAAGCCAAAAGATTGTAGTACTGCATCTAAGAGTCAAGGAATGCCAAAATTGCCAGCAAGACTAGAAATAAAAGAAGAGCATGGAACACCCTTCTCTAGAGCTTTCTGAAAGAACATGGCCCAGGCAATCTTCATTTTAGACTGCTGGCCTCCAGAATTGTGAAATAGATTTTGGTTGTCTTAAGCCACCAGTTTGTGGTAGTTTACTCTGGAAACTAACACACAGAGTGTGTTAGTTTGTTTTGCATCCCAGGGCATTCATGCCTGGTGAGTCCTCTACCTGGTATCTCTCACCACAAGTATTTGCTGAGACCCACAGGAGATGGTTGGGGGTGCCGGAAGTCCCAGGAAGCTGAAGTGCTCAGATGCCTGCCTCTCGGTACTTCCTAGTCTGCCCTACCTAAACCAGCTTTCTGCCCCAGCACTCTCCACTAAGTGCTTTATTTTCCCCATGACACTTGGCTCAATCTAAATTCACACCCCCTCTTTCTTTCCTTCCTTCCTTCCTCCCTCCCTTCCTTCCTTCCTTCCATTTCCTTTCCTTATTGTCTGCTCTGCCCAATGGGGTGTAGGCCACAAGAGCAGAGAGCTCTCTGAGGTACACACCAGGGCTCAAAGGCAGCTCCCAACACACAGTAGACACTTGAGAGTACTTGTTAAATGAACAGCACTTGCTCAATAAGTTGCTGTTGAATAAACAAATGACAACTACCCACCCTCTTACCACTGTTCTCCTAAAAAGATTGACATTTCTAGAGCTATTCTTTATAGAAATCAGGAAGGAACTATGGTGAAGGCCAATAAAAATGATCTCTGCATGACTGTGTCAAGGCAAACCTGGTGATGAGTTTCGCACACTGAATTCATAATCTTGTGAGAGTATAGGGTGCAGGGGTTGTCTCCGTGTTCACATTTGAACCACTGTGTATGTTGCCCACCAGGGAAAGTGTAATAAGGCTGGGAGCACCAGAAGTTTCTCAACTGAGGTCACTTGAGGGTAACTGACAATCTTAAATTACAAGACCCTCGTCTCTCCCTCACAATAACTTATTTCTAAGGATTCTCCCAAATTATAAGGACATCAGTTAATGTAGAAGTCTCCAGGGCAAAAAATTCACCAAGAAATGTAGCCATGAGTGGGAGCCCAAGAGATGAAGAAAACCAGAACGATGCCGATGCACCTTCAGCTCTTGAAACTGGACCAGGTTTCAATGGATGAAAATAACCAGTCCCCAAGTTCTAATCAAGGGACACTTCAGAGTTGACCTGTGGTCTAAGTTGGAGACAGTATCCCCTAGTTTGTTTCCAGTACTGTAGGACATATAGACACTCAGCTGTTTTCAAAGATATGCAGTGAGCTTAATGGCACCATGGGATAGCCTAAAGATTTAGGGATTTGAGATGACAGAAACTACTGCTTGCCAGTTAATACTTTGCCCTTTGGATGTTGTTGCCTGCCTTGTAGTGAGGTGGGGCCAGGTGACTAAATATTGACCAATGAGATTTCAGCAAATCTAAGGCTTTGTAAAAGATAATGACTTGAGCTTCCTCCCTTTCACTTGGAGACTAATGGTATGCAAAGTTCCAGGAGCCATCTTGCACCATAAGTTGACCTTAGGACTAGGACTCACATGCTAAGGACAGGGGATCATAAATATAAAAGTTTGAATCCCTAGAGAGACTGCAAAGCATAGTGACAGTTCTTCATTGCCTGATTCTGGGTATTAATATGAGAGGAATAAACTTCTGACTTCTGCATGCCACTTTTGGGTGAAAGGGGGTTGCATCCTTCTGACCTTGATTGATTCAGAGATGGTCCAAATATTCAGAGATTCAAGATGGTCTGGATTCTTGAACAGAGAGATCAAGGAAATTTACTTCGATTGAGAGTACACAGTGACAGGCCGATTTCCTCCTGCACCTTTCTGCCTCCTAATCTCAAGGCAATGACCTGGAGGAAGAATAAAGTTCACACTGCTAATGCCTGTGTTTGATATCTTCCTCCTAGGGAGTGAACATTTGCACAGGTCCAGAGTTCACGAACAGGAGCTAGGATGCCCAGCCACTGTACTCAGGTAGGACCTCCAGAGCAGGGGTTCTTAAATTGGTGTCTCCAGCAGCAGCAGCAGGACTTGATGACTTTTTAGATATAAAAATTGCAAAGTCCTGCCTCTGACCTAGTGGATCAGAAATGCTGACAGTGAGTTCAGCAATCTGTGTTTTCATTCTCACAGGGCTAGAGATGGAAATCAGAGCCTCACACGGGTGAGACAAGTGCTCTTACCACTGATCTACATCCACAGTCCACGACCTACATTTTAACAGCCACTCAGGTGGTCCTGATACAGCTAATGCTTGAGAGCCAATGGATTCCCAAGAATTATTTACACTTACTATTATCACTACCATTACCCAGGGTAAATATTATTATTACCGGGAATCATTACCTAGGGAGAATCAGGATTTAAGGCATTCATTAAAGGGGCTCTAGAGAAAAGAGAAAATAGTAACTCCAGGTTGGGGAGTAGGTACAAAAAGCAGAATTCACTAGTTTTAGCTCAGTTTGCATTGACTAGTTTTATCTTCACAGCTACCAAGGAATCCATGCTTCATATGGAACTCGAGCCCTCAACTTACTTCTGGGTCTTGACCTGTGCTTCTTGAATGTGACATCTAAGAATGAAAACTATGGAATCACAGTTCATCATAGGCACATCAGTGAGAATAACATTCATCTGAACACGAGAGAAGTCTTCTCTAGAAGCGGTCAGTACAGTCTGGCACACAAGAAAATTAATTTTAAGGGTCTTTTAAGGATAGGCTCCATTTTGGAAGCAGCTCAAGGTATATGCTAACAGAATCATGTGACAGAGTCTGTTCATCTCTGGGGGATAAGCAGGTGCAACCACGGAAAGCAAAACCTCACAGCCTTGCAGGTTGGGATGTCCCCACTAAACACCTGGGTGCATTGGTGAGCAGCCTGGCTGGCCTATCTAGTTGTAAAGCTCACAGCAGCCTATTGAGCTAGGATTCATCTTTTCATTGACTTCACTTCTTAAGTTCAGAATGGCCCATGTGATCATGTGGAGAGTGCTATCTCTCCATGTGCAGCAGACCTCAGCACTGTTGTGGTGGACACTTGTTATTCCTAGGACTTTTTGCAGTACTACTGACATACTCAAAGAATCTCCAGACTTGTGAGTCTGACCTCCCTAAGGTAGAACCCCAGGAAAGTACAATTTCCAGTATGGAAAGTACAGGATAGTACCTTCCAGTATGAAAGTAGAGCACACCACTACAATGTCGTGTGAGACTTGATTCAGAAGTGAGCACCTGGAAGAGGGACTGCATGTGGGATATGATTTGTTGGTGAGGACGGAAGTGAAATTGTCTGCTTCCAACATGGTGGTAAATGTGACATCAAGTCCCTGGCACAAAATAGATATTGCTAGGGGGCAGCAGCACCGGTGGCACCTTTTTTGCCATCCATTTTGTAGCATGACATATGGCTTTACATATCTTTTCTGGCTCCTCAGCCTTACAAAAATTCTATGAGCTGCCTAACATCTTTTTCATGAACTCCTTTCCTGATTTATCAGCCAAAAATATCTCCTGTGGCTAGTAACTAAAAATGGTGACTGTAACTGGGTGCTGTGGCACACACATGTAACCTCAGTACTCTGAGAGGCTGAGGCAAGAGGACAAGAGTTCAAGCCCAGCCTAGTCACTTAGCAACAGCAAGGCCTTGTCTCAAAATAAGTTTAAAAAGGGGCAGAGATGTAGCTCAGTCTGAAGATGCTGGGTTTAGTCTCCAGTACCACGCACATGAAAAGTTATGGCTGATATAAAAACGGTACTAGTGCTGTGACCATCACCAGGGACTGAGGGAAATGATAGTCACCTAGATTGATGACCTGGCAGGAACTAACTGCTCTGACTTCCCAACAGTGTTAGCTGATGGGACTCTGGCAATCAGGGATGCACCTGGGGCTCCTTGGGACAAAATGTGCCCTGCAGGTGAGCTTTGGGGGTACCTGGTGCCACTCCCATAGAACAACATGAAAGTCACGAGGCACTGCAGACTACAGGGTAGACTGTAGGATGAGTTGCTCCATTTCCAGGCACTCAAGACTTTCGAGTGTTCCTGATTCCGTTCAAGGTGCATGAAGATCCTTCAGAAGCCAAGACTTCACCTTTGCCTTTTCAAGCCCTTTCCCTGCCCACTTGAACCCATTCAAATACCTATCCCTTGCAATTCAAAAAGCCACAAAACCTTACAAATGGGACTACTTTGGAATGATCAGACTCTGGGGAAGACCCCATTCCTACTGCCTCTATTCCTCCCCTGCCTTCCACTTTCACCAGTTTACAGCCACCAGGAAAAATGGTAAGACATTTATTGAGTCAGCTATAGCAATTTGACATTCTTAAAATCCTGGACAAGGTTGTGAGCACAGCATTAGTGGTGGAAGCAGGGGCAGTAAGGTCTTGGGGGACTCATCTTTATTGTGGGAGATGAAACCCAGGTGGCCCGGCTCCCGTGAATGAGCCAGGAGCCACATCTGGGATGCCAGGGGCTGCACCAACCACTCCAGCCTGACAGGTGCAAAGCCACAAAAGACAGACATCAGACAAGACACACATGGTCAAAGGCAGACACATCCCAGGACTCGGAGTTTGGAGAAAGCAGGAGGAATGGGCATGCAGCCCATTTGAGGCAGGTCCCAAGTCCTTGCAGGATTCCCAGGAAGGTGGCATGGCAATGCTCACAGCACCCACTCGAAACTCTCTCCATCCTCATCTTGAAAGCAAACTGATGGAGATAGTGCTGAACTCTGTCCACCAGAGCCCTCTGGCCAGCCCCTTACCCCCAATGCTGGTGGTTTTACAAGTGGAGTAACATTTCATTCAGAAGGGCTCAAAGAAGTAGACAAACAGCAAACAGCATGGAGTCCCTTTCAGGGGGCCCTTGCCCAGGAATGAGCCCACATCTGTGTTGCTTCCAAACTTTGCTTCTGAGCTTCAACCTCATGTTGGCCTGCAGGACCAGTGATGCAATCATGTCCTCCCCACTTGTTAGGCTGGGAGACAGGTGGCAGGAGAGGGTAAGCCTGGGGTCACCGAGCAGGTGGTGAAGCCCAGGTTAGAGAACAGGTTTTCCCACAGCATGCTGACTCCATTACTTCTCCTGCAGTCTGGAGTCCTGACAACTTTCCATAGTCAGAGTCTGCCTTCTGCACAAGGAGGAGTGTTAATTCTACGGATGCTGATGGTCAATGTCATACTCTCGTCCTGTAAAGGGCTGGGCACCTATTGGTGGGGCCCTTTCCTCACCCAGCATTTTGCTGGATTCCTCTGGGTTTCCTTATCAGCCCAAGGAGGAGGTCTGATCCGAAGATTTCTGTTTCTCCCAGCTCTAGTATTTTGTGAGTCTCCCCAGAGATGTAAGAGGGATGAGTCCAGATCAAACAGCAGGTAGGTGGCAAAGCTGGGATAAGTCCAAGTCCCCTGCTCTTTGCTCGGGCTTTTCCAGCCAGTTTCCAAGTTTCTTGGGCTCAAGTGGGAGTTGATGATGACAAAGTACTCACTGCTTTTCTCTCTGGAGTGGGCCTGAAGGAGGTAAGGGTACTCAAAGAATTAAAGACAGAGCCTCTTCCAGTCTTTCCTCACAGAAGAGAGGGGCACATCCAGAGGCTGAGGCTTTGGTGAGTGTCCACAGACACAGGTAAATTTCCAGCTTTGGGCCCAGCTTGAGCTCCCTTATTCTACTGCCCAAGAACCCAGTTCAGGGAAGATGGGGCTAGAGGAGGAATTGCTGTGGCCACTGGACATGTCAAGAAGGCTCACAGTGCTGCCCATGGGGAATACAGTCTGGCCTCAAGTTTGGAGTCGTGAGGCTCACAGTGCTGGGGCCACAAGAGGGCTGAACCTCCTAAATCCCACTTTCTGACCCTCCATTGGCTCCCCAGAAGCCTCAGCTTCCCTGACTTACAACCCCACTTCCCTCAGGATGAGAGACTCTCTCCACACACTGCCTGCCAACCTATGGCCGGGCAGTCATGACGGGAAGCTATCTACCTCGTTATCCCAAGGAGAAGTCAGTCTCCTGTGAGGGTGGGGTCTGTCCTTTAGGATTACATAGAACAAGCACCTTCCCAGGAACAAGCCTCCTACTTCTCTCCAGAATTACCTTTGCCAAATGTCTGAAGCCCTCTTCACATAGCAGTTTCTTACCCTTTCTTGCTCAAAGCAATTACTGCAGTCTTTCCCAGGGCTCATTCCAAAGGGGTAGCTGGTGTTTACATAGGGAATTCTAGGGGATGCACTGGCTATATACAAATCCTCTAGTCTTATTGCCCATTGTAGATTTGAAAACAGTGGGTCAGAGAGGGAAAGGTTTTGCCCACACCTGACATTGTTCCCCTAGAGCATTGTGACCTTGAAAACCAGAATCTCCTAGGACCTTCAGAGTACCTAGCATACATCTGCTCACAAAACTGACAAAGAGCATTCAGACAGAGAAATAACCAATAGGAACTTGAACCACTAGGAAGATTCAGGTCCAGGGCTCAGGGAACAGTTCAGGATGTGAGACTCAGGGTAGATTTTCTTTTTGCTGCTTGGCGATGATGTACATATAAAGTCACAGTTTCTTCTTCCACAGTGAAGCAGACCTGCTGGTGGGGTGATGGCAAATGAAGGGGTCCACAGCCACGGGACTCCTTGGATCTAGGATACCAGTCATGGCACCTGCCCCAGCCAGGTAGAGAGCAATGAGTCACCACATCATGCCAAGATACCTGTTCAAGTATCCATGGCCTGAGCCTGCCCTCCAGGATGCCAGCTACTACTGTAGTGTCCAAATAGAAGGGAAAGGCATCTGGTTTCTAAGAATGGGAACATAAGCAGTATTCCCCACTTTATCTACACACATACATACACATAAACCTCAGATGATACACTGATGCACGCTCATCTACCTGCCTTAGTTATGCACTGGAGGGCTGCTCAAGTACAGAGCCTGGAGAAGGAGCAGAAGCCACCTCACTTCACAAGCATCATGTCCATAATCACAGTATTCTAAACCAAACTGAGGCAGACTCTAGGTCTCTGAATCCTAGGCAACAGCTCCTTCCAAGCAGCATCTCAAGTGCAGGTGATCAGCAGATACTTGCTTGTGTAATACACCTGGCTCCCAGGGCAGGTGAGGGGATGAGAAGGTCAGGTGCAGGATGGAAAGGCCACTGCACACCTGTGACCAAAGTCACTACACGTGCTTGGAAAGGAGCATCAGGGCCTTTTTCCCTCTGGCTTTACCAAAGACCTAGGGGCTGACTGCACTGCCAAAGACACAGGACTCATCTCTATTCATAGAAACAAGAGTCCTATCCACTCAATCTGCAGGCCTTTCCCAGAAAAACATCTCAAGTCCCAGGGCTCCTTCCTCTTTATGAAACTGAGCAAAGCCAAATCACCCTCAACCAAACTTCCAAGGCATTCCACAATAGGATCATGAAGCAAGTCCTCAAACACACAAACACGAACAAGACCAAGAATTTGTGGAATGAACTGGGGCCCATGGCACCCAGCACTTTCTCTACATTCTAGAGCCTGGTTGTGCCTGGCCATGGTTGTGCAACTTGCAGCTGGGAGCCAGGATAGGCATTGGGGAGTAGCTGCTCCACCATCAGTAGCTTCTGCTAATGAATATGGTGGGTATGTCATCCCCTCAGGACATTCTAGCAGCCTGCTGGGATCTAATGCCCAGGGCACCCAAAGAAGTCTTTGCAGAGGTCTCTAAGAGAGTTCAGTAGCTGAGTCCAGGCCTGAAGATCTGGCATCTGGGGCCATCATCCGTGAGGGTGGAGGGTGGGCGGACCCCGGGATGGGGACTTGGGCACATGGAGATGCAAGGTGCTTGAGGACACGCTGACATCACAGGAAGGCAGCTGGTTCATTCTAGACATGGCTTTGACTCGAGGGGAAATGGGGGCAGGGACTTACAGAGACTCTCCACGGTAGGGGTCATTGGAGAGCAGCTTCTCTGGGGTATCCCCAGGGACAGGTGGGGTAGAAGGGTAGCTACCAAGTGAACCATGCCCATCTTGAGTCAGGGGTAGAATATCAGAGATGGTGAAGGTCTTCCACGGGTCTCCCAACTCTTCCACCTCCTTCCCAATTGTACCCGCATTTCTGGCTCTCAGTTCTTCTTGGATCAAATGAAAAGCACCAGAACTTTCCTTGACCCTCAGCCCTTACCCCACAACTGAAGTCTCTGACTGAAAAAGCCCTGGGGCTGTCCCACCGTGCTGGCACCAGGAGCTAGACCCCTAGACACTGATGCTGGGCCCAGGCTTGAGGAGGGCCCACATCTGAAGTCAGACACGATGGGGCTGTTGGGGCAGGTCCTACCCCAGCCTCTCCAGAGGAGGGTCTCTCCAGCCTCAGCTCACAAGGCCTCTTGCCTGGGGGCAGGCCATCACCAAGGCTGGCCAGACAGTGGGGTGCAGGTGGGGCCTGGCTGAGGTGAGAGAAGCAAGGATGGGACAGACTTCCAAATTTGAGGGTTATTTACACTGTCAAATCAGGGCCCAGGGAACCGTGGTGGGTGGGGCCAGTACCAAAATAGGAGGGGCAGTAGCAGATTGTGCCTTGCCTCCTTCTCTCCCTTGGGGAGGAGCCAAGCTCCAGCCAGGGCCTGCCCAAGGGGAGGGAAGAGGCTCAAACATGCGCTGCAGACACCTGCCTGCAGCCCCAGCCTGTGCGGCAGGAGAGGACAAGGGAGAGGGCTCAGGTGGCCAGGTTGTCAGCTGGAAGGGTGGACATGCGAAGCTGGGAGCTGCTCTTGCTCAGGATGGAGAGCTGGGTGCCCCCATTCACCCCACTGCTGGCCAGGGACGGGTGCCGGTGCTTGAAGTCCATGGTGAAGTAGCGGTTCACCTTCCAGCTCCGCCATTTCCGCTTGATCTCTGCCTGCACCTGCGGGGAACAACTGGGCTGTGATTTCTGGGTGGACATCCTCTCTAGTTATCAGCCCTACCTGGCCTAATACCTTCCCACTGCCATGCCACTGCCCCTTCCGTGCCTTTCTCCTCCCCAGCTGCAATTTACAGCTGTTCTCAAGTCACCGTGTGAGCAAGGTCTATGGACAGGTGGCTCCCTACTGTCTCTGAGCCATTCAGAGGTTAGTGCAGGGCATCTCACTGGCTTCTTCAACAAGCAGCCCCTCAAGGCACAGGGGTCAGGGTGAAGACTCCTCTTCTCACTGACCATTAACAATAAGCTGCACTTAGAATCACCTGGGGAGCTTTAAACATTCCCAATGCCCAGACCACATGAACATGACCACATGCCCAGACCACATTACATCCATGTATCTGGGTAAGACCCAGATGTCCATAGACTTTGAAACTTTCTAGATGATTCCAACGTGTAGTCAGGGTTGAGATCCACGAGATAATTCCTCTCTGGGCAAACACATAACTGCATGGTTCTTAGCTTGGTGAGCGGGGGCCATGCCAAGTGAACCTCAGCCCCTATCTGCTCCATAGCCAACCACTGGAAACAAAGCCCCAATCGCTCTCCCCACTTCTAGCTCCCACCTCCACTGCAGGCTCTTGACAAGCTACACACACTCCTACCTCTCAGCCCGCCCAGCCCCTCATGGAGGGCCCTTTCTGCCTCTCATCATTTGTCCTAAAAACAGTCCTTGCTGTATGCAGGTTGTCCTAATGATCACCAAGCCCTAGCTTATTTCTCAGATGCAAAAAAGAGAGACGACTACTGAGATCACAGTCACGCAACAAAAACCTGAGTGTCCTTACTCTTGTCACTCCCCAAGCCCAGGCCATCCATCGAGCCCCTGCCCCTGCCCCAGCACCTGCATTCTAGAGCACCTCCACAGGCTGAAGAAGAGCCCAAAGCTATAGCTCTAGAAATGGAACATTATAGGAAGGTTCCAGGTCTTTCCCTGAGGTCTCGTCCAGATCCTCACAGTCTCTGCTCTGCCAGAGACACATTTGGGCCGGGCAGTGCTGCTGGCTACAGCACTGAGCACTGGGCAGCCTCAGCCCGGCAGTCCTGCCCATGGCACCTCCTGACCCACAGACAGCTCTGCCTGTTCCCCTTTCCTCACTGTCACTTCCTGCTGCCTGAGGCATGGCTCATGGAGACAGCACTCTCTGGGAGCTCTGTGTGCAGCAGAGCAGGTGCCTTTGCTGGTAGAGTTCTGCGCTGCTTGAGGCTTGGCCTCAGCTGCACAGTGGAAGAGAGTCCAGCACAGGCAGAGGCAGTCAGGAGATCCTGGCACCACATGACACCGGCAGATGCATAACCAGCCCTCTGCTGTCAGTACCCCAAGCTTGGCAATGCCTTCCTCAGGGCGATACACCCCAGCAAGCCCCACCTCTGCTGCCAATGAGCTGGAGGACCACAGTCTTACCTCCCCGTTCAGGAAACAGTAGAGAATAGCCACCACAAAGCCCTGGGGAGAGAGAAAAGGCAAATCTGAGCACACTGGCAAAGGACGTCCTGCATGCTGTGTGCCTGGGCATGTGGGAAGAACAGGAGTTGAGGATGACACCAGAAAGCACAAAAATACATGTCCTGAACTAGGGCACTGCCCAGGGATGTGGAGTATGAATGGACACATGTTGCTGCTCTGCCCCATCAAGATTGGCACACCTGTGAAGCTGGGTTTCTGGTGAGTCAGCCCCCACCAGTACACCCTGGCTTTGGATACACCTTGGTCCACTTCTTCCAACTGTCAAAGGCCAACTCCATCCTATTTTCAATAGGAAGGCTTCTTGGAATGTTCTAGAATTTCCTCTGAGCCCTCCCACTAGTCTATAGGCTGCTGAGGGCAGGATGCCTCCAGGACAAAGCAGACTTTCATCTTCCATAGCTACCCCCATTTCCCCCGGGCTGCACATTCCTGCACACGCTATGTGGAGTGAGCACTTGGCACAGAGTGGGAATTTAGCGGCTGCATGTGCACACTGGAACAAGCACATTTTCCAGAGCTCTGCCAAGCCATTCCCCAGAGCCTGAGCTCGGCTGTCTGCGCTGTGCGAGTGTGTGAGGAATGCTGGCTGGGTGGCCCCGGCAAGCACCTCACCGAAGCCCTGGGCTCTGGTTCTCCGTCAGAACACTGGCTCTGAAACTCCCAGCCTCACCAGGCTAAGCACCTGAACCAGGTAAAAAGGCCTTGGATTGAAGTGGGGGCAGGGAGAGCTGCAAGTCAGATGCAGAGTAACCTCCTGACCATCAGCTCTCACGCTAAGTTGAGCAGGCCGCTTAGGAGAGGACACCAGGGAGCCGGGGTTCCCTTCAGGGCCCACTGCTCCTTCCATCTGTGCACTTCCTGCTGTGGTTCACTCGCTTGCTTAAAGCCCCGCTGGCTCCCTCCTCTCTCGCTCCTCTCAGCCCCTTGCTCCCTGGCGTGTGCACCTGCCCTGTCGTTCAGCTCGGCCAGGTCCCACGCTGGGATCCTGTGCCGGGGACCCCAACCCAGGTGAGACAGAACTCCAGCCCTCGGGAGGGGCGAGGTCCAGCAGGCTGAAGTCTCGATGTGGACACGCTGGGCTCTCAACACCATCACACACTGAAGGCCAGGCTACTGAGGAGCTGGCACCACAGATCACCCAAGGGGGCCTGGCCCAGGATCCCCAGACACAGCGACAGCCAGACACTCATGTGTCTCCTCACAGCAGCAGACAGAGGTCTCCCAGCACGGTTCTATTCTGGTGCTCATTTCACAGACAGAAACACTGAGGCCCAGAGCCAGGGTTAAAGATGTTCGAGAGCCACCAGCAGGTCAGAGGCCAGGCCCTGGCTCCTGGAGAGCTCTGCCCTGCATGTGCCGTGCCTACCTGGAAGGAGCCCAGCCCCAGCTCAAACACGAGTCTCTCCCTCTTGCTGACGTTCTCTGGGGAGAAGGCGAACACCGTGTAGTGGATTCCGAACAAGGGGATGAGCAGCAGCGTGGACCGGGCCAGCCGTCTGTGGGAGAAAACACGGCATCTGCTCCGGGGGCTGCCAGGGCTTGAGAGCAGTGCCTCCAAGCAGAGAAAGCACTCCCAGCCTCACTCCCTCCAGACACCCTGACAGCAGCCCCTGCTCAGCATTCTCAGCTGGCTTCCAGGGCGCCCTAGGAGATGAGGGGCACCCTCCGAATCTGCAGGGCACCCATTCAGTGTCCTGCAGAGCCACCAAAAATGTACGTGCAGTTCACAAGGACTCCTGTGTGATGTGCTAACCCCTCAGAGAAGACAGTCAGGGAAAAACACTGGATAGGATTCAGGAGGCTTGAAGCAAATCAAAGCTTTCCCCGCCCCAAAGGAAACTCTACATGCCCCAACAGAGCTGCCCCCAGGTGCTGCAGAGACAGTGGTTTTCTGAGTATGAGTCTAGCTGGGGACGCCCACGGAGAGCAACAGGAGGTGTGAGGACAGCTGGGGAGGGACAGCACCGTGTGGGCCACAGAGGGAAACTTCGAGGGGTCCCAGGAAGAGCTTCCTGACACTGCGCCCAAACCTCCACCCAGGCAGAAGGAAGCTGTCACCCAGGAAACCAAGCCAAAGGAAAAGAAGGAGATCTGCTCTGGGGTGGGGCAGGAAGGGAACCCCACCAGGCCTCCTGTGGACAGCTCTCCCCACACTCCTAGGCCAACAGGGCTGGGCCCTGTCCTGAGGGTGCAGGGACATGGTGGCTTGTGCTGAGGGCATCAGGGGCCAGCGCCCTTTTGGTTGTTGCTCTGCTGGAGGGGGCTCTGCAGGGGCTTTCTCAGGGTTGGGCCCTATCTCTGCCCACCCTAACACACTGGCTTCCCAAGGGCCTTCCCCAGAATCCAGCCTCACCCTGCTGTGCCCAGCCCAGCTCTTCCAGAGCATCCGTTTCACCTTCTCCCGGCAGAGCTGGCTCTGCCCAAGCGGGCGGGGGGTTTCAGGGTGGCTGTTGGATTGGAGGCCACTACACAGGGTGTCCCTCACTCCCCAAACCTGGCCTTTCTGGGAGAGAACATTCTACAGTGTGAGAGGTCCAGATGTCTAGAAAAGCCAGCCTTGACATCCTAGCGTCTAGAAGAGAGGATGAGGCGGGATGAAGAGAAGGGAAGAAGACACGGAGGAAGGAGGAGCCTGGAGAGATTTCAGTTGGGGGAGCTCAGTCCAGAAAGGAGTGGGCCTGGCATGTGGGGAGCCCACCTGTCCCCTCCTTGCTCACTGCTCACTTCTCACCCTTGTGCAGGCCCTGGGGTCCGTGGACCAGAGTAGAGCCAAGAGGAGCTGAGTAAGCCCCTCCTCTGAGCCTCGGTGGGCCATCCTTTCAGCTTTCCTCTGGTCTGTTTCTGACTACGGCCTCTAACGCTGGGCAGCCCCTTGTTTATCTCGGTTACGTCCCACAGCAAGCACATCTGGACACAGAGCCGACACTGGAAATGCCTGCCATGAAGGAGTAAGTGGATCACACAGGCACAAGCACCTGGAGTCCTCCAACCAGAACACCTCCTGGATGCCAGGTCCTGCTGGTGTGTGTGCTCAGGACCTGGCAACAGAAGGCAGCCGGGAGTATCGAGATGGCACAGAAGAGCAAAGTGGCCAACCGTGAGCACACCTTGCCATGCTGGGGGCTCTGCCACAGTCTTACCTGGGGACTGACTTTAGCACACACTCGAGGGGTTCCCCGGAATCAGCCTGGGGAACTTGCCTTCCTCCCTCTTACCTCACCTCCTACAGAAGGACTCTCTGGATATTTGTCCTTGTATCCCAAATAGGGTCCTGGAACTCAAGGTATCAAACCTTTCCAGTTTTCACAGTGGTGTTGGACAGGTCAGGTCCAGGGTATAAGAAACAGTGACCTTCCAGGCACAGAGTCAAGACCCTTCTAGCCACAGGATTACGTGGTGACCCCACTGAGCATGGCTTGTGGACTAGTCCTGGGGTGCCACCCCCCAGCAGCCCTGCAGCAACCCTGGCATGGTCAGGTACTTCAGGAGACTCAGGCACTCAGAGTCCTCTTTGGCAGACAGGACAGGGGATGAATAAGATCTCTGGAGCCCCAGAGTTGGAACTTGTGCAGTCCTGAGCTGCGTGCGTCTTGGCATGGGACCATAGGATGTGCACCTCACTGTACCATCTGATTAGCCTAGAGAGACAGCGACACTGGGCCGAGGCCTCCATCCTCCTCCCCAAGGCCCATCCCAGGGAAGAAGAGTCCTGAAATGCCAAGAAGAGCTTCCAGTGATCACAGGTGCCCAGGGGGCTGCCCAGGGAGGCATTTCCCCACTCAACATGAATGCCCAAATGGAGGCCAGTGTTTTAGTCAGATACGACTTGGGGCATGGTGTTAAGGACTCTCTGGGTTCAAATCTGTGCCCTGCCAATTATGTGGCCTGGAGGAAGTCACTTTGTCTCTCTGTGCTTCAGTTTGCTCATCTGTAAAATGGGAGCAATACAAGGACCCAACTCATAGGGTCACTGTGGCTACCAGCTCACACATACAGTGTTCTGCAAAAGGAGTGAGGTCCCCTGCCTTGTGCAAGGGACAGTCTCTATGAAACCAAGGTCTATGTTTTCAGAAATAATTTTGTAGTTGCAGAGATCAAAGCCCAGAGAAGTCAGGAATTTGGAGAGGGCTGCACACCAGGCAGCACTGACAAAGACTGCACAGCGGCTTCCTCAGCACAGGGCAATCCCCAGGATGCTCCTGCAATGATTGCAGCTCCATCCTTGCGCGCTCCCCTCCCACCCCAGGACCAAAGGACTGCAGAGAACTCACAAGACACTGGGACCTCAGCATGCAACAGCCATGGGGCGGGGGCGGGCCAGGAGGCACAGGTTGGTGCTCCACGTCCTCCAGCCCGGCAGGACACAAGCTTAAGCCAGTGGCAGCGGTGGCGACAACATGCGTCCCCCTCCCCTCCAGGACACCCGACCACAGCCACGGCCACACACACGCACACTTACAGAGTAATGGTGGACAGTTCTGACATCTTGCAAGAGTGCTGCTGAGCCCGCTGTGGCTTGCAGTAGCATTTCTGCACGCAGCTGCTGGGTGTGACAAGATTAGCACTTCTGTCAGCTGGGGGCCTCGGGCAAGGAAGAAACTGAGGGTGGGCAGAGGAGTAGGGGCGGGGAGGCAGGGCCAGGGTAGTCATGTAGAGGAGGAAGAAGCTGAGGGCTAAGACATGGTCAGCTCTGGACAAAGAAATCACACTTAGACGTGCACAAGTGTGTGCATGGTTGCACACACACATAGAAGCATTTGCACTGGGACCATTGGTAAGTGAGAGAGTTTGGAGCGGAATGTGTGTTTCGAAAGTGGACCTTGAGCAAGGAGCCTGAGGCCATCCCTAGGGTCAGCCCCAAGCTCAGGATGTGGACTCACCAGAGGTCACTCAGTGAGACAAACAGCTGGAAATTCACTCTATGGACCTCGCATGGTGCTGGCATATCAGAGTTCTGGCCTTGGTTGTCAAGGTCCCTCAGTTGTCCTCTGGTTGTCCCCTCTACCCCTCTCTCCTCCCTCCCAGGCATTCTTCTCACTGTGTCAGTGCACACAGGGGGAGCAGGGGTTAAGCTGGACTGACTATATTATTATGTAGCCTAGACCTGCAGTATCCCATGATAGCCACAACCCAAATGTGGCAATGCAAATTCAAATTAAATCAAACTAAATTCTTCTTCCTCAGTTGCTCTACCACATCCTAAGGGTTCATGGCTGCATGTAGCTGGTAGTGACCATACTGGGCACAGGGACACGGGCATGTGTATCCCTGTGGAAAGGGCTACTGCACCAGGCTGGGCTTGCCTGGATCAAAGCTCAAGGGCAGAAGCTGAGGGCCGAGAGAGCACCATTTGGGCATTGACCTGCCCTGCAGAAACTAGTCACCTTAAGGAGGTGGACCTAGCAACAAGTCTAGCTCCACATTCTTCTGGACATGGAGAGGGCAGCCCTAACCTAACAGAAACCTCAGGCTGACTCCCTCCTCTACTGACCCTTAGTGGTCCTGCGCATGCTTGACACCTTTCAGGGGTGAGTAAGAGCTGCGGCATCTTAGACTGCAGGAGTTTCTCTTTTACCAACCCTTCTCAGGTACCACTTAACTCTGGCTGGAGGATGGATACATCTGGAGAGGATCAGATGTCAGTGAAGCAGATGTGCAAGGGAGATTAGACCCTCAGCATCCTGGCCAGCGTCTGCACCCCTCCAGTTTGTGGTTCTCATTTAATCAAAGGCTTCTTTCCATTCACACAGCCCATGAGACAAGCACTGTGGGCCTACTTTGCAGAAGAGAAATGTGTGCTGTGGTCTGATGCTTGGCTACTCAGAGTGGCCCCAGAGCAGCAGCAGGAGGACTCCCTGAGCACTTCTTAGAAATATAGACTCTAAGTTAGGCATGGTGGTCACACCTGTAATCCCAGCACTTTGGAAAACTCAGGCAGGAGGATCACAAGTTCAAGCCCAGGCTGGGAAACTTAGCAACTTATATGGCAAGACTTTGTCCCAAAATAAAGATTAAAAAAATTTAAAGGACTGGGGATGTTACTCAGTGCAAAAGCCCTGGGTTCAATCCCCAACACGGCAAAAATTTAAAAAAAAAGTCTCAGCTACCACCCAAACTATCACCTGCTCAGAATCTGAATTTTAACAAGAGCCATGAACGAATGCACAAGCCAGCCAATGCTCAAGAAGCCACAGAGATATGCAGGGGTCAGAGAATTCTTCATGTGCCCTCAAGAATATCAGAGGTGTTTTTTATAAGTACAAAGAGACATAGGCAAATAAAAGTGTTTTCTTTAGATAATTAAAAGAACATAATGAGGTATAGCAAGATGGCAGGTACCCTACACTTTACATTTATTATTTCCCCTGGGCAGAATGAAAGGTGGGCGCTTCTCCCTTATGGCCAGTGACCCTTCCACTTCAGCTGGGGTGAGCCACAAAAACCAGGTCCAAGAGCCTAAGAGGCCACCTACATGCCATACTGAGGCCCACACCCTGCAGTCAAAGCTTCAGCTGTTCCCTGACAACCCCATATCTTCAGTTCCAAAACTGTCCCTTGCCTTCTTGGACCCAGCATATATCTACAGGACACACGGGCTCCTCTGATATTCTGAAAGATATTTGGAGAGTTTTCTACAAACCATTCAGTGACAAGATCGCTGGATGTGTGGCTCTGAGCCTGGGAGAAAAAGGTTGCTCAGAGAGGAATGGGGAGGACGACACCCAGAGGGCTCTCAGGGGATGGGGAAGAGGCCCTATTCCCCAAATGCTGCCTTTCCCTAGACCTTTAATGTCTGCAAGACGATGAGCTGAAAGAAATGGAACAAGACTGTGTCAACACAGCCAGAGCCAGGAGCGTGAGAAAGAGAGAGACAGGGGAATCTCAGGACAATTAGGGAAAAGGGAAAAGGAAATCTATCAAGAGGAAGAGATGAGCCTCAGTAGGCTACTGAGATCGTTCCGAGTTGGAATCAAGGGAGAATAAGAAACTCAGCCAAGGGTGCTGGGTGGGGTGCTGGATGGTGGCCACCGCCAGAATCAGAAGGCAGGAGACCTCTGCGGCAGGTACAGTGCCCACCCTGCAGTGAGCTCCCCCCAGAGCTTGCCTTCTAGGCCTGGTTTTGTGATGAGTGTGCAGGAAGATCAAAGCCATTCTCAGAACCAGCCAGGGATCCAGCACACACCATGGCCTCACACCTGTTTGCAGGCCGGCTGGGCTGTGGCCGTAGGATATACCCAGCAGAGTGTTACACTGAGACACCTGTGGGAAGCCCTTTGCAGGCAGCACCCCCATCTCCTTCACTTCTATGACTCCTGGGGTCAGTGTAACATTGGGCCTTTGGTGGTCCTCAGGACGTAGGAGTCAGGGCTGAATATGTACCACAGGGCCCTCCTGATGCTGGGATGCTGTGCACCCCGCCTAGCCCAGAGGAAGTACCTCCAAACACTGCCAACCCAGCAGAAGCATGGCTAGAAAGATGCTGGGAGTTTCCCTGACACTACCACCTCCCTTCCACCGCGAGGACAGGGTGAGCCAGCTCTCTCTGCCTTCTCCCAGCCTGGAACAGTCCTAGCTGGAGAGCTGGCACCCAGGCTCGAGGCTTTGTTTGGCCACTGACTTGTTGGGTGATCTTAGGTGTTGTCCTCCTCTGAGCCTCAGTTTTTCCATCTCCAAAACAACAACTGCCTGCTGCCAACCCCTAAGAGGAACTGCAAGGATGGGATGATCCCAGGTGCGTGTAAGGGACAGTTTGGATGTGGAAGATGGAGCGCCTACCCCTGTAAACTGGAAGCCTCTGGCTGTCGGTGAAGCTCCCCAGCCTGAGCTTTCTGTTTGCACTGCTGCCTTGCATAGTGCTGTGGATCTTGGGAGACTTGAGCTCTCCTCTCTCATGAGGCTGAGGAAATCTAAACACAGGTTGCAGTTGGGGCTGCCCTGTCCAGGTCTAAGAGGAAGCTTCTGATGCTCATCTTCTGCAAGGGAGAGCCACTGCTAATGAAGCCGGGTCACCCCAAGACAGGAGGAGTGGAGGCTCTCTCTGTATAGTGGGTGTCTGTCCCAGAAACTTCAGCCTTTCCCTTCTGCAGCCAGTGAGCTGCACACAGTGGTAAATTTGGACCCACAAGCAAAGGCAGGCTAACCCTACCTTGCTGCAGAACATTCAGTCCTGTCTGCTGCCCCAGACGACGTTGGCCCTGGGCCCATGCTGACCCCTGACACAGTCCATGGCTCCATCTCTGGCTGCTAACTAAGCCCTAAGCCTAGCACTCATTCTACCAGGCGCACCAGGGCGGTGTAGGGGTAGCTCAGGACCACTGCCCCTTGCAGGGCCCCACACCCCAATTCCTTCCAAGGCTGGGTAGGGAACACCATCTTGGTTTGTAGAGGACAAACCCTTATCATCTGAGCAGCTGGAACCAACCTACAGGAAAGAGAGTGAATGCTGGTCTGAGGGCACAGGCAGGGGGTCCTCTCGGGCTTTCTTGGGGACTCGCGGGTTTAAATTTGTTCTGGAAACAGAGGAAAAAATCAGACAGCTGTTGTGGGCAGAACTGAAGGAGCTTTACAGCCTAACACATAAGCCTGGGGCCCCAGGGGACCGCGTGTAGCCTTGGACCCTCCCTTCCCCCCAAGCCCTGCCTCGGCCACCTCCCGCCCCTCCCCATGCAGATGCCTCCCGCTCTGAGCAGCTCCTCCTCCAAGCCCTGCAAACTGAGGACACTGTCACACCAGGAGGAGGCCCCTGGGGCACTTTCTTCCAGAAAGCCTTATTTTGTAGCTTTTGACAGCAATGTTGTGTGGCCAGCCTTGGAGAGCAGAGCCTGCCTATGCTGCAGCGGTGGCTTCGCTCAGTCCCTCCCACCAATGCGTGGCATGTCCCTGGCCACTAGTTAGTTCCCTGGGCTGTAGCATAATTCTGTGTAACAACTGCTTACCTACCTCCCCTGCACTAGGGATTTGTGAACATTAAACGTGCACAGGTGAAGTTGGGAGTGTTTTAAGTGCTCTGCGTGTCTCAGCAATATTCACTGGGATTATCACCATATTCACCCACAGGGTCTCCTTGACCCTGGAAAACTCAAACATGTGGCTCACCTCAGCAGGATCAAGCCCACCTTCTGTCCAGCTCAGCCCTCCCACCTGCCTTTCAGACTGCAGCCACCCAGGTTTTTAACCTTTTCATCCTTGGAGCCTCAAAGCTAGCAAGATTTTAGAGAAATCTTTTTTCCCCTTTAAAAAGAAGGGTTTATTGAGATTGCACAGAGATGATGAAAATGTTTTTAACTTATTGAAATAAACTACTTGTTTTTGTAAATGTCCTGGATTGACACTGAAAGGTGCAAACCATGTATGATTTATAAGAGGTTCTCAGTGATGGCTTGGGAAGACTTATTGGGACTCCGTGGTTCCTAACGTGTGGACAACCCAAAACCAGGGTCCACTCTTCTCCATCAGATCCTGGGGGGTTCTTGCTGCCCGGGGCAGGATGTCTGAGCTGGCCAAGTGTGATCAGGGCTCAGCTGGGTGTCTGTAATTAGGCTGAGGCTAAGTGTGGGCCCCATGTATATGTCCATGCACAGGCAGAAGGAAGGGAAGCTGGGCGGATCCCCCCAAAAGAAGAGGCCTCAAGGATCTCAGAAGAAGAAACAGATCCTTCCAGGAAGGGGAGAAGATGGGGCTGCTAGAGCTCAAGTGAAACTATGGCTATTTTGCTATCTATCAGTTCCAAATACACAGTTGCTGTCAGTGCAAGAGCCAATCTGAAATCAAGGAGAAACTGAGGCCAGACACAAGATCATGGTTTCCAACACTGGGCAGGGAGGTGAGGGGAGTGGCAGCTCCCTGTTCGGTGACCCCTGGAGATGAAGGCAGGGATGATCGCTCTGGGACAGGTTGGGTGGTGGTAAAAGGCTGGCCCCACCAAGACGTTATAACTTATATCCAACAATTTTATACTACATAGGAGACACAAGGGCTGATAAAAACTTACAAAAATGTGAAAAAAAGATAGTACATGGATAGCAAAGAAAAGTGTCTTCCTGGATGATGTAATCATTACAGAGCCAGTGAACACCCAGGCTCTGGGTTAATTTCCCCCAGGGAAAAGGAGAGATACGCAGGCTACACAGACAGGGAAAGGCCAAGCTATACGTCGCTAGAGATGCCCCCAGGAACCTTCAGGAAGGCTCTGCACTTGGTATCTGAGCAGTACCTCCCACCTCTCCCTCTAAGGGAACAGTTGAGGAGCTCCGGGAGCTCTGTGTTGGGATCTCCCTACTGTCCCACTCATTCCCTGTGAGCCCCAGGCTGGAGCCTCCAATGAAGACAGGACTCAGTACCCAGTGATGACCAAGCACAGCTCCTTCTAACTTGCTGTCTTCTGGAAGAATCCAGGAAGCTTCACTTATGGCTCCTGCCGTGCACCTCTAACCAACTACAGTGGACCACCAGGCTTTCTCTTCAGCAACAGAAACATCCCCATAGCCCACGCCGCAACTGGTCATACTCCCATTCACAAGGCCCACAGGGTGTGTGTGGTAGGAGATGTTCTGCCTGATTTCAGAGGAAGCAAGACAAGACAAAGAGAGGGTTGGAAGAGAGCCGGCAGGACACGCTCTTAGGGCCATGACTACAAAAGATTCCTCAGAAACCAAATGGCCATGAAAATGGAGAAGGCCTTGCACTCCACAGTAAGAGGTCGGCCTTGAGACCAATAATCACAAGCAGAGGAGATGCTTCTGTGTCGAGGAAAGAGGTTATTGAAGATGTAGTACCAGATAATGCACAGGTAGAGCTGTCCCTGAGGAAAGGTAGAGGACAGAAAGAAGCCCCCTTTCAATACTCGGTCCAGGGAAGATGTCTTGCTGTGTCTCCAGTGGGCACTGAGCAAATTTTCCATGTTGGCCTAGAGCGTGGGCTTACCCTGTGGTGCTAATAAGCTTCCCACAGAAGCAGAATCCCTAAAGAGATCCAAACTCCAAACAACTGAGACTCTAATGACCCTAGGCAATACGGTGTTTCCTAATTTGGTTTTCCCAGTGTCACACAGGCCGAATCAGTCTCTTTCCCCTTCTGTGGAATGACATGCAGGTTAGGTGCTCAGGAAAGGCTAAAGCCTGGAGGGCAACTATATTTTAACTATGTCTGTCTGTATTTTAAAGACACTTTAATGAGGAAGGACTCTTGCAAATGGCCATGCTAGGTCACCCTGTCAGCAAAGCCCAAGCCTCTCTTGCTTGTGACCCAAGCGCAGGCCCATGTGGTTTTCAGAAATGGCTGTGGCGTCCACATGATGGTACTTACAAGTAGATGCTGGACTCATTGCCTCCCATGTCTGGAGACTGCAGTTTCTGCACAAGGATGACAATGATGCCGATGAAAAGCACAAAGTTAACCTGAGAAGCAAAGAAAAAGCAGGAAAAGTTAACCAAGGGCAAAGACCTGACATACCCATCCCTCTATGCAGGCTTCTGCTCCTTCTTACAGCTACATCATCAAAATCACATCTACATTTCTAGTCCAAGATGGCAGCAGCAGAACTAACTCTCGGGCATCTCCCAGCCTCCCACAGAATCACTGAAAAGAAAGAAGGGGTACAAAACATAAATCCCTAGAAGTGCCAGGAAACAGGAAAGCATATCATGAATGATGCATGAAAATGAACAACTTCTGGAAGAGAAAGAGAAAGTAGGATCGGGGCAATGGAAAAACTACAACTGGAAAGACAGAAGAGGTGGCTGTAGAGGCAGCAGCTGTTCTCTGGAGAAACTCCAAGTTCAGAGTCATGGGATATAGGGAAGCGGCATGGACACCAGAGCAATACTAAGTGCAGGATGGCCTGAGAACAGCAAAAGCAGAATCTGCCTTTAGATAAAGAGCAGCGACAAAGGCCTTCTAAACAAAGTGAGAAAGGGGGAGGAAAGAGAGCAAATAAATAGAAACAGGCACAACCAGAGAGCTGCTCAGGGATGTCTTTGGGATGTCACCAAAGTAGCCCTTGGAGAAAAATAACAGACAGCCTAAAACCCATTAAAAAGAATACTTGTTGAAAAATCATTAAACTTTCAAATCAAAAGTTAGGGAAACATTGCCACTAATTTAACATGTACAAGCAGGAAATTAATGGAGGACAGAGTCTTAAGAGGAACTGGAAAAATAGGAGATATGATCAATGAAAATAAAAATGTATTTTTGTTTTTATTTCGTTTGCTTTTACAGGGCAGTTAGAATGAGAAAGCACACTCTTCACTCTGTCCATTTTGTTCTCTGCTACATGCCTGGTGTCTAATCAGTGCCTGGAATTAGCACAGCAAATACTGCTAATGCCATGGGCTACTCAATCCAAAAGAAAATACAATTAAGCAAATTGAGGGGTGAAAAAGTAGGCAAGAGATGTACAAATTATTGCAAACCATGAAAGAACATCAGGCAAAATGGTAAAATAAAACTTAACAAAAACAACTACAGGACAGAGAGAGAAAAAATCTGAGTAATAACCTCGGAAGAAATTTTAAAAGTAGGCAAAGGTATAAATTAGTTAAAAAGCATCAGGTCCAGATAATTTTATGGATGTCTAGGAAGATGTAATTTACATGTTATTTAATTGATTCAAAGCAAATAAAAGGGAACTAATTCAAATTACCCATGTGGCTAACAAAATCTTGCTCCAAAAACCAGACAAAGAGAAAACGCACACAAACACACAGATCATAAGACCACAGAATTTATGAACAGCAATGCAAAAGCTTTCAACAAATGTTAACACAGAATTTAGCAGTGCATTGAGGAGTAAACAGAGAATAGTCACAAAGATTTAATCCAGAAACACAAAAAATAATCTACTAGTATCCGTTACAACAATAAGCTTCCATCATCCCCTAGCACACTGCCAACAGTTAAGGTAATTGAAACGTCAAACATCAAAAGAGACACTGGAAATACTGGAAATGAACACTCTTGTACTTTGTTCATAGAGGGCAATTTTCTAACCACAAAAATGTCAAATACACACATCCTTTTCCCCTGAACCTCCGCTCTTCTGGAGATTTATTCTAAAAACATGTTTATACATGCTCAAGCTAGGCACAAATATATTCCCTGTAGCATTGTTTATAATGACATAAAAGTGGAATACTATGTCCATCACTAAAGAAAAGTATGATCACTCCAGTAACTGTCTCCAAAACACATTTGATGAAATTAAACATGAATGCTTGATTTAAAAAGAAAAAACATACTAAATCAAGCCAGGAGGAACTTTCCCAACCCAATGCAGACTCACTGTCCAGAGCTAGAGCAAACAGTATCTTTGACAAAATCAAGGAACAGACAAGTACTGGAAAGGAAGGGCAAAAACTATTTTCATGGGAAGATTAAGTAATTTTCTACCTAGAAAATCCATGGAAATCAATGCAAAGGGTTATAAACTCATGAGAGTTCAGAAATGTAAGTAGGCAAAAAAAAAAAAAAATACACAAAAACCAATAGCATTCCAATACAACATCAGTAACTCATGTGAAAATATAATGGTATGATTGCTAGACCCAAAGAAAGCCCAAACTGAAAAACACATTAATATAGCAAGAACAAGGATGAACACTGAAAGAGTTTTCACCAAAATGACTCCACAAGACACTGAATAAGTGGAGAATCATGCCGTGCTGTGGGAGAGGCAGACTCAATCTTTTAAGAAAATCAGTTCTCCAAAGTAATCTATAACTTCAATGCGATTTCTATACAGATCTCAACCAGATGTTTAAAAAAATTGCAATTTGAGAAGGGTATTCAAAACCCACTTGAAGAGCATGTAAAAAATTTTATGAGAAAAAAGGGAAGAGAAATTTGCACATCAGCTATCAATCTGTCAATGCACCATCTGCCATGGGAATAGATAAATAGATTAATAACATAAAAGGGAAAGTCTGAAACCAAATACAAGTATATTGAGTGTTTATAATAAAATAACATTTCAGCGTAATGGAGAAAGGATTCAATAAAAAGGACTGAGAATGTGGAATGTACATCCTTGAAAAATAAAATTTGATAAAATTAATTATCCTTTTTGGCCAGACCCCCAAAAAATTTAGTCAGATGAAAGGTGTACATGTAATAATCTAATGTACAAGTATCATAAAATAATTAAGAATATTTTTACATTTTAGGAAAGCAGGCCTCCATACTCGAGAAACAAGGAACAGAATTCATAAAGACAAAAGCTGATGGTCGTGCTGTCTTGGCTATGTGATAGGTATAACAGATGAAGTGTCACTGTTCTTTGAAGAATAAGAAAGTCAACTTGCTAAACACTAGGCAGAAGAAATCAACAAAATATCCAAAATAAAAACAGATTGTAAGCATGCAGAAAAGTCTGCTCAGCACACTCGCACCATGGAGAAATAAGCTACCACTACCCTACAGAGGAATGCATGATGTTTAAAAGACCAACATTCTGAGCGCAGGCAATGATATGGGGAAACAATCTGCTCTTGCAGGGAAAGTAAATTGCTGAAGGGCTTTTGCAACACAATATGGAACCTGAAAGTTTAAATGTATACTCTTTTGACCCAATTTCACCTCTAAAGAAGTATTTGCCAATGCTTACAATTATCCAGAAAACAATTCCTAGGGGTACCTTTTCCACACCCAACCATAGGGGAAGAGCTAAATAATTTGCGCATCCATGATCCAGAACATAATGCAGCCATGACAAAGAAGGAAGCCAATTTGTGCAGGGCCCTTCCACTCCACCTCCTGTGTGCCCTTCAGCCCAGGCCCCTGTCTCTTCCCTTCCTCTTTGCCCCAAGGACACTCACCATTATAGAGCCAACCACAGGGCCTTTGATCACCCACCACAGAGCCGTGCTGTCATTCATTTCCCAGCAGCTAAAAGATGGGCAGACAGAGAGAAAAGAGATGATGTCCAAGGGATACCTGCAGGACACTGCCCCAGCTAGCTGGGAGCCGGTCACCTTCTCCCCCTGCAGCTCCTGGTGCCTGTAGATGCCAGGCTCTGGTTATAAAGATGGGGCTGCCCTTGGGCACTTGGGAAAGGGCCATGTATCCCCTTCAGATCCAGGGCTCTTGGGGTATAATACCACCCTCAATACTCTTTCACACCCTGAAAAAGGAGAATAGACTTAGAGCTAGGCCCGGAAGCACTGAGGGCTCAGAAACCTTGCACAGTCTCTTGGTAGAGACACAGCTGACATGCACGGGGTCAGGGTTCAGTGGTGCCCAGGGATGGGACGGCTGTGCAGTGGAGTTCATGTGAAAACAGGTGGCCCCTGAGAAGCCTCCTATAAGAACTCACTCTGTGCTTGAGCTCTGCTTCTTGGGCATGTACTCACCCTGTGTCATCAAAGTAGAGCCTCAACACAGCCCACACCATCACACACACAGTTGGGGTCCCTGAACGAGCAAGAAAAGATGACCCATGATAAGAGAAAAAAATGTGTCCCCTCACCTCCCGCACTCCCTGGGGACCCTTACCATCCCTCACACCCAGGGTTTCTGGGACTCTTCACTTCCCTCAGAACTAGAGCTGGGGAAGGCGGTCCTGGGCTTAACTTCTCCCTTAGACAGTGGGCTTCCCACAGGCAGGAAGGGCAAGAAAGGGCCCAAGAAAGAGCGGTTAGCCAACAGCCTAGAGCATCGCTCCCTCCTCACTGCCACTCCCTCACAGTCACAACCCAGGACACATCTGACCAGGAGGCCCAAGCCCAGCCAGGCACAGCCAGAGACCTACCCCAGCCAATAATGATGTACCAGTAGAAGTATCTCCTCTCAGGGAAGAAGGTCTCCACCAGCAGTGTGAAGAGGTACAGGCCCTCGATAAACAGCCAGAAGTAGTTGGACACGACACAGTAGTGAAAGAAAACCATGACGGCCTTGCATTCCACCTACAGGGAGGCCCACAGCCAGGAAGTTTCAGCTTCTCTGGCCCCCAGAAAAGTTGCCAAAACCTGGCCCACAGGACCAGGCAGTGAGTCCTGAGGGCCTTCACTACTGCTCAAATATCTCAAGGAGCTAAGGGAGAGGACATTCCTGGATGGAGGAGCTGACAACAGCAGCATCCCGTGACTAGGGGTCCAAGCTGCCCAGGTAGGCAAATGGCTTGCAGGGAAACGACTGGTGGACAGTACAGGGCCACTAGATTGGCCCTCTCCTTCTTCTTACTCCTCCTTATTCTCTCAGGGAAGGGGAAGAAAGAAGTAGTCAGACGGCTCTGTAGGAAGCTTCCAAATGAGCATTTGGAAATCTCTCCAGCAGGGGGATACAGAGCCAGGCCCCCAGGAATCTTTTCACAGAAACCCTCCACACACACTGTCCTGGTCAAGGTCTAGACTCTAGATTCTTTCTCTCCCACTCCATCGAAGCCCAGTTTCTCTGCCTACATGTTACCTCCTCCAAACTGAGGTTTGGAGAGGCTACCCAGCTCCTGGGCTCAGCACAGCTGGTTAAATGACCAAGAGGCCTGCAAGCCCCCTCTGAACCTGTTTCCTCTTCAATCGAGCAAGACCTGGCATTTCCACCTGACCTTCCTCAGTTGCTTTACCAGGTACAAGACCCAGGCCAAGGGACTGCACACATTCTAGCTATTGGAAGTGATGTACGCTGGCTACTAGAGCTATACGGCAGTTCCAGGACAACTCCATGGGTGGAGCTGATGCCTTCACCTACAGGAGCATGCTTCCCTGTGAGGTGTCAGATAAGTGTGGGTAGGAGTGATCCTGGGTAGTGGGGTGGGTTCCCCCAGGGCTCACTCACAGTAGAGATGAAGCAGTGGTTGTTATCCTGCTCGGCATACAGGATCCAGTCTTTGATGAAGACAGAGATGGCCCTCAGCATGAAGGACACGAAGAGGTTCATGTGGATGAAGTTGCGGGTGCAGTGCAGCTTCCTACATGAGCAGGTCAGGGACCAGGAAGCCTTAAACTCCAAAGCATTCATACCCTCCATGCTGGGGCTGCTCTGGGCCTTCTCATTGGCTTTGTCTCAATGGGCCCCCAACCACGCCACCCCTTCTCCCACCTATCTGACCCTCACTGACTTCCAGGCTTCTGTATCTGGCCCCGACTCCACATGCATACATAGCCCCACTGTCCTCTCTTTCTACCTAGACCTGGAATATAAAAGCAAGCAAGGTAAGTCTCCTGCCCAGCTTCTGCCCACTGGGTGGTGCCGGACAAGCCAGGTGGCCTCTCTAGGAAAGGGTTTCTATCTGCTGTGCTACAGGTGGTTAAATGCCTTCCAAGTGACATTCCAAGGCTGACACCGAGGGAAGGGGTGCAGCAATGAGCTGCGAGGAGCTGCACTAATTCAGAGGCTGCCGATGTCTCACCGAAAGCGGCACAAGATGACCATAGCAGTGGTGAGGGTGACCAAGGAGGTGCTGTAGCCGACCGTGTAGAGGGCCTTCACTGACAAGTAGTAATAATCCTGGAGCAAAAAACAGAGCACAGAGGATGCTGGGCTCTCCATGGGGCCTGCCACTGCCCCTGGGGCCTGAGCTCAGTTTTCCAGGCAGGAGCTGCCCCACTGGGCCAGGCTCCTCCTCCCCGTCTTTCAGTGACCTCATCTCTCACTGCCCTCCTACTCCTGGCTCGATGGTTCACTCCCTTCTGTACTCCCATTCTGCATACGCTCAATAAATGTCTATTGAGGGAATAACATTGACAATTCAGAACAGAAAGCAACCTCAGCCTGGAGAAGGGTCCAGGAAGCCTCTAGTGGGCCCAGTATTAATCCTCCATTGCTGGGTCATAGGAGCCAGCATCTTAGAAGTAGCAGTGAGGGAACATCTTGCTTTCATGTGCACAGGCTTGGGTGCACAGCCAGTACTCCGGGGTGCGACCTCGATCCTGAGTTCCTCAGCCCTGCCACCATCACGGGGAGTGGGGGAGGGGCATACACTCACCTGGTCCTCGGGCTCAGTTTCATTCTCGTAAAGTCCGCATGCATCAAAGTAATGGGGGAAGGGCTCAGACCAGCCTTCTTCAGTGCAGTTCCGGCTCACCAAGCCCTTGTCTGCCATGAAGGAAAACTTGGTGAGGAGCAGAAATGAACACAAGGCCCTGAATTTATATACAGAAGTGGGAAGTCCTGGAAGCCCACATCCCCACTTGGGAAGGAAGGACAAAAGGCTCAAGGAATCAGTGACTGCTGGGGACCTGAAGCTTAGGCTTCACTAAGAAGCAGGTGCAGATGTGGCAAGGGGCAGGCTGACCTCTTAACCAAAGGGAAGAGAACTGAGCCTACCAAAGCCAGTATTTCTGCATCCTTCCCCTGGAATATTCCCAGGAGCCCTTTCTGAAATAGTCAGAGCCCCTCCCCAGGGCCTGGGTCAGCCTGTCTCAAATGTCAGTGTGCAGAAGAACAACCCAAGACTCATCACTAATACGGATCCCGGTGGCCCGACCCTCAGCTCCAGGGATTCTTTACAGAACATCTGCACCAGTCTGGGAATTGCCTCAAGTGCCCATGAGGTGCAAGTCCCTGGGGCACGCAGCCATAGGAGGCCCTTGAATTTGCAGCCCTGAGCCTCCCAGCAGCTGGGACGTTTTGCACCAAAAGGACACCTGCTTAATCAGCAGGCACCAGACTTCTACCAACCTAGCAATGTCCTGTATTAAGATGTCTGTTTAGGTTTTTTTAAAAAATGTCTGCCTTTAAGGATCTGGCAGTCTGTTTCCTGTCACTAATGTACTTCAATTTGCTTTTAATTGACCTTAAGGTCATCTTGTGAGGTGCCTGAGAGGGCAGGGTCAGTCACAGCCACGGAAAGAGTCACTGGCTGGTGGCACAGGACAGCTAGGGTTGCTTTAGCCTCCAGTGAATGAATACGCATTTCATTCTCCACTCGCCCAGTGGTCTGTAAGGGAGGGCCACTGATGTTCAGGGAAGGGGAGGGATCCAGCAACCCCCTTTCTTCTAGCCAGCACCTGAGCAAGGCCCAGATGGACAGCAGTCATCAGCCTGGCTTCCAATAAGCCACCTGGTCTCTTAAGACACATGGGATCCATTCTTTCAGGGAGTAGAAAATTGTGTAAAAAAAAAAGAATGTCCAAAGAAAAGGGGTTCTGGGGACACACAGCTAAAGAAATTCCTCCCTTCTATGGCCAGAGCCACCTCTGAGGAGCTCAGGAAGGAGACAAAGAGGACAGTGAGTGGAGGAGATGCAATGCAGGAGACAGCGACCAAGAAGGGAAGTCCCCTTCCTGTCCAACCTGTACCCTCATGGGCGGAGCAGGAAGACTTAGGGCAGTCTCTTCAGATGTGTACTTCCTGGGGCCCGGGGAGGAGGAAGAGGGGGACCCTGCCAGCAAGGAGAGTTCTGCCCGAGTGCTGAGACTGGCCTCCACCACTTCTCCAGTGCCCAGTGCTGCAGCCGGGCTAAGGAGGAGCCCCAGCCAGCCCTGGGACCATGGAAGAGTGCAACTGTGTCCCATAGCTCTGTGCCAGGCTGGCCCTTTTCCAGAAAATCTCTCCTCGGCTGCCACGGTGACCTCCTTCCCAGTTCCTCTGAGCAGTTCTTCAGAAAATCCAAAAGTCCCAGTGGAGTCAGCATCTTGGCCAAATCCCACCCCCTACCCCAGCCCCATTTCCTCTCCACTTTGCCCACTTCTGGGTGGTGGGAAGAGGAAAGGGAAGCTGCTTTGAAAAGCAATTTTCAAAAAAATGTCCTGAACGAGAAGAAAAAACAAGAACATTTCCTTTCTTTTATTTTCTTCCTTTTTATGATACAGTGTAGGCTCAGAAAAGCATAAACCTTTTTGTTCCCAAACTGTTTTGTGAGTATTGTTAAAGTCTCCGGGAGACGGAGCACTCTCCAGATTGACAAACCCCAGAGTGACAAAGCCCACTTCCCTGGGCTGACTTGCCCCAGCAACTTCACAGGAGCACAGAATTTTAGGGCTGTGGTTCCCAGAGGGGGCTATTGCATCACCTCGGAAGCCAGCTAGCAACACACATGCTCAGGCCCCGTCACAGGCCTGTAAATCACAGACCCTGGGAGCGAGGCCCCAGAATTTGTATTCCAACAAACCCACGGTGTAACTGTGATGCACCATTAAAGTCTGAGAACCTTTGTTCTGTGCTGAGATCAAACGTAATAGGAACCACCTAATCCAGGGATCTTTACTTGCAATCCGTGAAAGGGTTTCTAGAGTTTGTGACTCCCCAGATATTGTATGTACCAGGTCCTACTTGTGTCCTTAAGTACAATTTTCCACGAGACAAGCAATAACTATATCAGGGAAATGACCACCCAAAGATCACACACCCGTAGAAGGCCAAGCCCAGCAAGCAATGGGGGTCCCAAAGATCCCAGAGCAGCAAAAGCAACTCTGACCAGCCTTTGCCTGAGAGAGTCAAGGAGTCACTATCAGGGAAATCAAGCTTTCCTACAAAATACAGATGCGGACAGAGGTCAAACACTTACAGGCTTCCCATGTCACCCACTGTCTACCACTAAGGCTGAGGCTGCTCTGTTCCTTAAGGACTGGGATGGATCAAGAGGCCACATCATATGGAAGTCCCACACATTTCTGACACACTGCACCTACTAACACCAGGCTGGCTGGGTTTGTGTGTCTGTGATCCTCAGGATGGCCTGTGACTCAGCCCCTGCCTGAGCTGAGGGAGCATAAAGGAGGCTCTCAGCAGGATGGGAGCATGGGAAAGGGCAGGAAACAGCAATGGGTATGCGGTGCAGTGGCTGCTTCCTGGGAGCTCAGCTCTCCATCATGGCCTCAAAATCTGCTTTTCCAAATGGAATCAAGACCTCCACACACTGCATCCTGAGACATTTCTCTCCTTCCCTACTCTTTATTCCCATTTCCACTTTTTCCTTATGCCAAAATTCCACAGTAACCTAGCAGTAAACCCCATTTTTTCTCTCCTTGTCTCCAAGTAGGCATGCCACCTCTGGGAAGCCTCCTTGACCCTTCAATGCACGGCTGCATGCTGCATGCTGCATGCTTTGTCCCTTCCGCCCTCTTGCTCACTATGCATCTCAGCCTCTCGGCCACTGGAGATCCCAGACCTGTGCAGATCACACGCAGGTTCAGGCCTATGTGTAAGCACATGCATGTGCCTATGAACATGTGTAGACTCCTTTCTCACCCCTCTCACTCCTCAACTGCTGAGTTTCACCCTCCTGAACAAGCTCATAAAGACCTCAAACTCAAGAGCTATGTCCTCCATCTTCCTGTGCCCCCACTTTCAGGATAGTCCAAGGATGGGAGAGATAGCCTGCCATCATACTCCCACCCCCATCCTGATCCCAGCAGCCAGAGTCAGGATCTCCTGAAGCTGGGCTCCTCTGGGATAGACAGACAGACAGCAATCTGTCCTCACCAAGGTTCCTCTTACCGGAGTTTTCAGTCTCCCAGACTGCAGCAGAAAAAGAGAGAAATGCAGAGATGAGCAGAGGTTGAAGTTGGGGTCTGCTCTCACTGACCGCTTCCTCCTCCTCCCCACCCCCAAACACTGGACATAGTTCTTTTGAGGGCCCTCCACCTCCAGAACAGAAATGCACAGAGGCCTCCACAAGGAGAGAGGTCAGCGCCCCTACACTCCAGCTTCCAACACCCTGTGCAGCCACCATGACCACCCAGCTTCCTAGGAAGCAAACAGGAAGGTGGGAAATGTCATTCTCTCCCTTCTGAGTGGAAAGGCAAGTCTCACCTATCAAGCCTTGGAACAGAGGTGTTAAGAGGCCCTGCCCTAATGAGCCATTAAGAACCAGGTGTGAACAGCACATGCCTGCCAGAAGGAGGAGGCTGGCGCAAAGTGGAGCTTAAGGAAATCTCCTTTACTATTGATTCATTTTGCCTTTGTGGCTGCAGTTGTTGGAAGAAACTGTCTTTGTGTGGAATGTGACCTAGAGTAGATGTTCAATAAACTCTAAATAAATGACTGAATGAAAGCAATACACTCATGGAGGAAGTGATTAAGTTGGTATCTAAAAGAATGAATGAGGAATCGGGCTGAATCATGGGCTGCCAACTGTGCCTGACGGTCCGCACTCATTGTAACTCTGACTGCAGCACTCCTGGTCTTCTCTTCCGAAATCCCCTCCAGCCTGCTCTGGGTCATTACCAGCCTCCATGCCCTTAGGATGGGAAAGCTCAGCTGCTGCCTTCCTTCTGTGCTGCCAAGAGGCCTGGCGGTGGGAGGGAGGTGTGGCACGTGGTTTATCTCCCTTCTCTGGTCTCGGGACTGAAGCCACAAGCAGGAGCCTGGAACCCCAACCATGCCACTATCTCTCTCTGTGCCACCTCCTCTAAGCCCCTTGCCTTCCAAGGCAGTGGCAAAGTTGTTGGAGTTCGTGGTCTGAAAGCCAGTTTGCCTCTGCCTTTTGGTCAGGACAGGGCTCTGCTCCTAGCAGAGGTGGGACCATAAAGGCTTCACGCCTTTGGGCAGAGCATTGCTTTGCTGGCTGAGCCTATGTCCTCACTTCCTATATCACAGAGCTCAGCCACACTGCCTGCCCCACAGGCTCCTAGATAGACCTGGGGTCCCTGGATCTCTCCACGGCACTTCAATGGCCCCTGCGAGCCATGAACACAGACAGGCTCAACACAGCTCCTCTGAACCCCACTCATCTAGCCTTCCCTAGCATGGAGGATCCCATCACACACCTGTCCCCGAAGCCAACCTCTGCAAGCTGTGGACAACAATGCTTCTTGTGTGTCCAGGGTCCTCTCCTGGGAAGCCCAGGAGCCTGAGTACACAGGGCCCAGCTCCTCCTCTCCCACAGCTTACGGTTTACTCAGCAAACAGATGTGCCAGCCACTGTGCAGCCGGAGCTCTGTGTCCACATCAAGGGGTTTGTAAGCATGGATGTGGGAGAGCCCTGGGTGTCAGCTGCCCGCCTCACATTCCTGTCTTGCCTGAGGGTGTCTGATTCCATGCCCCATCCATGCGTGCCTCAGGCTAAGAAGTAATGTGGCCGGGCAAGTGACAGTGCTATTGTCAGCTGATGTTTAATACTGAGCATTCAAAATGTGCCAAGTCCTACACTAAGTGACATCCATATACATGACCTCATTTTACCCTCACAGACACGCTGGGAGGGAGTCACCAAGCCACATTTCCATCTGGCAGACCGGGGACTTTAGGGGGAGAACTGCCTCAATGCAAGTCCCTAGGAGGACAAATGATTGAGCTGGGATCAACTCGACACCTGAGAGCCTGGCCTGCCTCCATCCTTGAACACCAGGGCGCTGGTGTCAGTCAGAGCAACACCGTGCCCCTAAACATCAGGAAGGTGCATGGTGTCACCCTTCCCACCAGCAAGGGAGCTCTGGAGAAGGGACTAGCTGCCCACCCACAGGACAGCCTGATCCTTGGTCCTTAGCTCCTGGGAGGGCAACAGGCTAGACCAACATGGCCAGAAGAGATTCTGGGCTGCACCTACCTTGGTCTGGGTTGAAGATCCGGAAAAGTTCGGGGCAGCTGACCTCAACAACCTCACCCACACGGGCTGGCTTCCAACATGTGATGTTGTCCCACATGCCTGGGCATCCTGGGGGGAAGAGAACATGGTGAGCATGGGGCCTGGTCACATAGACACTGCACATCGTGCCGCATACTGCACACCATCCATTCGAGGTCCTCACAGAAGCCACAGTGTTTTAAGAGGAGGGAAGGCAAGGTTTCTTGTTAGAAGGAGGCTCAGATAGGGCAAGATCCCTCAAAGAAAAGATGAGGCACAAGCCAGTGCAGGTAGCCCTGGGTTAGAGAGGGAGCCTCTCCTGATTTTACAGCAGCTGCTGTGGGAGTGTGGGGAGGGGAAAACACTTGGCCAGGCAGGACCCCTAAGAGGGAGATGCCATGGGTTCCCTCCTTCCACCGTGCCTCAGCTCCTTCCTCCTCCTCCACCTCTTCCAGTGGCCTCCATCACTTCCATACAATCTTGCCTAAGATCCACCTCCTCAGCTGGCTTCTCCCCTCTGTGGACAAGGGCAGGGCTGGGACTGGTTGGCCTAAGGCTGCTGCCTGGAGCAAGCAATTGATACCATGCTGGGACTCAGAGGAGAAGCACAAATTCATCTGATGAGAAGAGAGGGAGCCATCCAGGGAAGCCTGTGCTGCCAAGGCCAGAAGGGCTTGGAGGAGCTAAGGATAAGGGTAGCAGGGACCGCTGCAGAGGCCAGCCCAAAGTCCCAAGGAGCCAGCTGAGGGAGACGAAGGAAAGCATGCACTGAGAGGTTTTAGGAATCGTTAGGACTGGATGACTCACTGGGCCTGAGCTGCGAGGAAGAGGAAGACCTCAAGCCTGATGACCAAATATTCAGATCTGGGGCATCAGTGGCCCCCTCATCACTCTGTCTGCTGTGCACTCTTTCTGGCTTCCACCAGCCCCTTGTTCATCCATCTCTGTCCTTCCTCTACATGGAGCCAATTCTCACCAAGGCCAACAATGACTTCTTTGCTGCCAAGTCCAAGGAACAATTTCAGCCCACACTGGGTTCTGCTTGCCCCACTGAGCAAATGCAGGTGCAGATGGCTGCCCTGGCCTGGCCGGCATGAATGAGTGAGTGGAGCCAGCTAAGGTCACAGTCCTCAGTCCCCAGCCATTCCTCAGGGCTGAGTGCATGCCCAGTTACCTCTGGACAACCCTGCCTGCAGGGGCCCAAGACAACTCAAATGTAGCACCTGCTCCAACCTAACTAGAAGCCCAGGCCACCTCTGCTCTACCTCCTTCTCCTCCGTGCTCCGCATCCGGCCCTGCTGGTTCTCCCCTCTCCCCGGACATTTGGGGAACCCATTCCCCTTCACTGGGACAGTAGTTCCAGCCTCCTCAGAGGTCTCCTCCCTCAAGCCCATTCACCTAGAACCCCAGCTTTTCAAACTGAGTACATGGCTGAGCCGTACACCACTCTCCATGGTCTTAGCACCCCAATTACTTGGCATGGCACCTAGCGCCACCCAGCCTGCCAAGCCACTGCTCACTTTCACTCTAGCACAAGACAGTGGGGGGAGGGCTCACCCAGGGATGGGGTACAAAGTGAAAAGACAGTGGGGGGCCTGGGAACCCCGGAAAAGAATGTATAGAGATGCCACTGAGAGATTGTGGCAAAGGTGCGGTGGGGGGAAGAAGGGAGAGTGTTAGGGAGTTTCAGAAAACAGATCCAAATCCTCAGAGGGGTCTATGAAAATGTGCTGCCAAGAGGGCCTCTGTGTCCTACAGGGAAGCGAGTGACCACGGTGTCCCATCTTGCAGCCTGCTGGAAAGCCTAATTACAGCATACATGGAAAGTTCCCAGAACAGCACAGGGTTCTTGCACTCTGTGCATGTCCACTGCTGTCATCAGCATTAATGTCATTATTTTAATGAGGTGTCCCTAGGAATCACTCCCCTGAGAGAGGCCGCCCATGTGGGGAGATGATGCAGAGATCTGCAAGGTGACATGAAAGCTTGATGGCTGACCGCCGACAGGTCCCAAAGGACGCCTGGGAGATGGCAGGCAGAGGAGGGGGCCTGGTGCAGGTCTCAGGAGGCCAGGGTCTCTCTGTCAAGGCCTATGACTTTTGCGTGCTGTGCAGGTCTCCACAATTTCTGGATGCAGAACACTCCAATTCTCCGAATTTAGAATGTGCCACGCAGTGACAGCAGCCAGTGGCATCCTGCTTATGAACAGAGTTTTGGAGCTGTGTATCCCAGGGCAAGGACACTGAGGGTCAGATAAGGGACCTGGCCCAGGTCTTAGCACCAGCCACAACAGATGACTCTTGTCTACCCGTTACAGCGGGACCTCTCGCCAGCGCACAGTTGGCTGTGACATCTTGTCCTTGAAAGAGACCCAGCCAGTACGTCTTTGGCTGCCATAGCCCATGTTGACCATGGACTGGCTGTGGAGCGTGGCCGTGTCTGGCCAGGCCCTGGGAGCTCCAGCCAACAGATGTTCCCATAATGCAGAACATTAGGCCCTGGCATAGCCAGCTGCTACTGCCAGCTGACGTTACTGAGGTCAGAGGGCCACTTTAGAGTGTGAGAGTAGGGGTGGGGGAAGGGAGGGATGTAAGAGTCAGACAGGGTGGTGCGAGGCCCTCCATACAGAGCAATTCCCATGTACTAGGGACTAGCTGGGCACCAGGGCTCCAGGGGTGGAGAAAACTAAGCTGTGAAGTTTACATTAGAGAGCTGACCAAGGGGAAAGGGGAAGGTCTCCCCTCAGTACCTGCATTAGAAGCCCTGGGACTTGTGTGCTGGTTTCCTTTGCCATGTGTCACATTCCTGGTGTGCACAGCAAGGCCAGCGGGCTCTGCATATGCCCTGCTTTGGATGACCAGGGCTCAAATCTGGAACAGAGAATCCCCTGGGACTTGCAGATGCCTCAGGGACTTCCGGGGCAGCTAGGGCTGCCTTCCTATCACTCTCTCACCTCCCCGTGTGGCCTGGGAACACGAAGGATCTGCCTGCCATAACTCTTAAAGCTGTTCTGGTGCCTCCTTCTGTCCCCAACCTGTGTCCCCTCCAGAGTCCTAGGGACAATCCCTGTAGCACCCAAGCAGGTGAGGAGCCTGGAACAAGATCCCATGACCCCAGTCGCCAAATTCCAAACCTAGGTTTTAGAGACAACTTTCTTGATCCAATCAGCCCTGGCACTTGGGCAGACAGGAGGTGGGCACTTGAGAGGGTCTTGGGTTTTTCTGGCTGGGACAGTAATTTTGTCCCTGCCCATCACACGGACTACCTCAGCTTTGACCTCCCTGTCCATGCACACTCCAGGCTTCGCACAACTTAGTTTTGTTGGGACTGGAAGACTTGAAGAGGCCTTTCCTTCCCACTTGTCTTCCTCTTCCTCCTATTTCCTTCTCCTCCACCTGCTTCTCCTTTTAACCTCTTTTCTCCTCCCTTTCCTCTTTCCTTGCCCCTTATTCACTCATTTATTCAAATATTAAGTCAAGAAGAATGAGTCAGACACTGCAGAGCAATACACAAGTAAAGAGAAAGGGCCCATTTCTGCCTCACAGAACTCACAACCGGGATCATGCTGACAATTTTGGATGTTATGTGGAATGATATATTTGTTCCCTATCACTGCTGGAAGTTTTTGAGCAAACTTAGTGTCTTCAAACAGCAGAAATTATTATCTTACAGTTCGGAGGATAAAAATCTGAAATGGGTCTCACTGGATTAAATCAAAGCATCAATGGCAGACTGGAGACTCTAGAGAAGAACGCTTTTCCTTATCTTTCAAGAGGTTGCCCATATTCCTTGGCTCATGACCCCATCACCCACCTTCAAAGCCAGTGGCTTTGCATCTACAAACCTCACCTTCTCAGACTCTCCTGTATTCTATCACTTACAATGACTATAATGATTATAGTGTACACCCAAATAACCCACGATAATCTTCCCTTCTCAAGATCCTTAATTAACTGTAAAAACAAAGTCCCTTTTGCTATGTAAGGTCATATCTTCACAGCTTTTGAAGATTAGGATGTGAGCATGTATCTCTGGGCATTTGTGGGGGACCTATTCTCACAAAGTAGGTTCAGACAGATCCACATGATCAGATTTGGTGGTGTGGGGAGACAGTACATTTGAAGAGCAGAAAAGCAGACATAGAAAATGGTCAGCACAGGACATGGCAGGGGTCCAGAAGAGACTCTAAGGGGCTTGATTTGGAGTGATGGCAGCCGAGGCGAAGAGGAGCCTTGTGTGGGACAACTTGGTTGCAGGAATAACAGGGCTTGGTGACAGAATGGCTGGACATGGCTGGCAAGGGTGCTCAAGACCAAGTGTTCCTGTATCTGATGTGACTCACTATCGTATCCCATGGTAAATGAGTGACAGTGACAAACTAGTCTCTAAAACATCCTTCACGGATGTCAGCTGCCTCGGTCTTCTTTCTCTCAGCACTCTTGGAAGCCACGCATGGAGGCCACGTGTTGAGAGTGGCAGTGTTTCAAGATGGGAGGGCCCTGGATCCCTGAACGGCCATGCAAAGCCAGGCTGACCGAACTGACCAGTGACGCATGCAAGCAGGAAATGTCCCTGTGCTGAGCCTCTAAAATCTTAAGGTTAATTTGTCACTGCAGCAAAGTCTAGGCTTTCCTATCTGGACAGCTGAGGGGAGAAGAGTACCGTAGACATCATCAGGTTTCTGGGCTGGGTGTCTGGATGGATGGATAGATGGATGGGCTATTTACTACAGTGTGAAGGGCAGGGTAAAAAGCACGTGTTGAGGGATTAGGCAAGTTAGAAGTCAAGGTTTTAGGATATACGGGCTTGAGAGGATACAAGGAGCCAGTGAAGACAGCTGTCACATAGGCAGTTAGATCCAAAGGAGAAATCGGCCTGGAGAAGAGGATGGGAAGAGGTCAGCAGGGATGCTATTTAGGCCTTGGGTCTGGATAGTTCATCCACCAAGGGAGTAGAGCTCAACAAAGAAAGAAGGAGTGAATGGGCCTGGCCTTAAGAGAAAACAGAATGCAAACACTGAGAAGAGGAACTAGCAAGAGACTGAAGAAGCATGTTTCAGGGAGGAGATGGCCAAGGGCATCCGATGCCAG